GTCTGCTCGCTTTGGGGTAAAATAAAAAAATTGACAGTAAATTAGTAAGAAATCCAACAAAATCAAACAATGATGTAACTAGTTTTGAAAGTTAAAGTGCTCTTAAAATGTGTTTAATGTCTCTGAGTTAGCTTTTTATTCTCACAGTAGATATAATCTCATTGTATCTTTTTTATAGAACTTTGGGTCTGAGGCAACCTGGGATATCCAGCATGGTGGGAGTTTTCCTCATCTTGATCTTTACGTCACACGTGTCCTACTTGACCTTCGTTAGCTTCGACTACGGCTACAACATGGCTGCCAATGTCACCATCGGTAATCAAAAGTTCCCTAAAGCCTCGTTTAGACCAGGATTAAGAACTGATTTATAAGAAGGAAAGTGTTCTTTTTTTTTGTTTTTTGTTTTACTGTGGACCACTAAACATGTTTACCGTAATTTCCGGACTATTGAGCGTACCTGAATATAAGCCACGCCCACTAAATAAATAAAAAAATAATAATTTTGTACATATATAGGCCGCACTTGTATATAAGCCGTGGGTTTTCACATTGTAACATAAGATATTTACACAGAAAGATTTTTGTAAACTTTTAATTAAATACGTACCGGTAACGTACACAAATACGTACAGTAATTTTTTTTCTGACTAGCACCTGTAACACAACTGGTTAAAAAAATAAATAAAAATACAGTAGCCTACCATAAAGTCATTGATCGCTGTCCATCTCCCTCCTGCACAAACTTGTGCTGTCTTCCTGCTCCGCTGTCAGGATTCACCGGCAGTCTTGAGCAAAAGTGTATGCAGGGAGGGGGGACTCCCCTCCTCGTTTCATTGGTCCACTGTGACCAGTTTGTTAATGTCATTGGTCAGATTTTTTAACCTTTATTTATACAGGTAGTCTCATTGAGTCATGAGAATCCACCCCTAAGATCCACCCCTAAGACGTGTATTGGGCAGCTCTGTGAGTGCCCGGGTGTGACGAGGCTCAACGTTTTGGCGGCAGGAAGCTCGTTAGCGCATTAAAAAAAAAAAAGTCCATAAATTATCAGCAGCATTGCGCTGTGGTGTTCAAAGCTTGTGAAAAAAGTAGCAGCTTATAGTCCAGAAATTACAGTAATTTCATTATTAGTAGCTTAGGTTTGATGAAATTCCTGGTATAATATTTACATAAAACATTATTTTTTCATATTTGTTGATACATAAATATTTAAATATTTTGGTTTTACCTGTTTGTCTACAGCTCTGTGCATTTCTTTTCAAATTATTATTATAGATAGATAAATGTTCACAAACCTGGATCATGTGTTTACATGGCACTTTTTAAAAACGTTTTCAGCTTGCAATATCCAGGTTTCTGAACGCAAGATTAGACAGATTATATGTGGGATACAAAACAAAGGTGTTTTTAATTTTACAATGAAAACCAGGATATTGATATATTTAAACACAGCCTTGAAGATTTCTGCCCATTGCCCTGTTTTAGTCATTCTTCTGCAAACAATACTGAATCAGTGACTCTTGGGTATTTAATTTATTTACTTTTCACCACCCATCTCTTTGCTTTCTGTCTTCCAAGGCATGGTGAACCTCCTGTGGTGGCTCTGTTGGTGCTGGCAGAACCGGCGGACGCTCCCGTACTGGTGGAAGTGTGGCCTGGTGGTGCTGCTGCTTCACGGCCTGGCCCTCCTGGAGCTGATGGACTTCCCCCCGCTGCTCTGGGTCTTAGACGCTCACGCAGTCTGGCACCTCAGCACCATCCCGGTGCACTTCCTTTTCTACAGGTTTGTCCCACTGACCTCTCAAAGCTGTACTGAAGGCTGGATGTAAAAAAAAAAAAAAAAAGTGGGAATTTATTTGTTGCTGCTCTGTCTCCAGTTTCCTGATAGACGACAGCCTCTACTTACTAAACACAGAGAAGATGGGTGTTAAAGTGGAGTAGGAGGAGCCCATCGCCTCTTCATCACGCCTCCACCCCCACTCCTCTTCAGTCAGGGCAGCCGGACACCCGACCTCTGTCGTCGCTCAGCCTCCCAGATGAACATCGAACTCTGTTTACTTTTATTTTTTTCGTTCGTGCATTATTTTGGTGTGACGTCTTTGAAAAAAAGTTGCCATGATGGATTCTTGCTCTACTTCGCCTTGTACTGCCACGCGTGCTACTTTTACTGTATTAGGGGATGCTGGATGGGAGAAAGTACCAAACCTCCAGCTGTGCTTGAATCTTGTTTACTCAGTTTGGTAAAAATTCATCCCCTGAACCGTCGACGATCAGTTTTCATCAGCTGACCGTAGGTGGCAGCAGATCTGCGGTCCGGCCTGTTCATTCATGTGTTCATATGTGCCAAAACTGACAGAAAGGTTTCCTCTTTTCAAAGAGCTGCCAGCTGATTTTTCTAGAAAGACGGGGAAGAGGATTTATGTTGGACACTGTGTTTTTTTTTTCTCCATCGCTCTTTTTTGTTTTTGTGCCTTTCTTCTTTTGCTGCTTTTGTTTCTCTTCTCCAACATTCTTTTTTTTTTTTTCCACTAAGCGTTTTTGCTTTAACCCTCTGCCTTTAACCCTCTGCCTTAGTTGATTTGAAGTCTGATATTTTGACCCATTTGTGCCATTTTTTTAAAAAGTTTTTTTTAATTTAATTGATTTGCCTGCCAGTTATGAGATGAAAATATGACTTGAATTCACCTGAATTGCCTTTTCAAACGAGAAATGAACTGAGATGCAGGAAGATCCGAGCGACTTTTCTCCACATTCACAGTTTTAAAGTTCAAGGGTAAAGCTGAGCGATACCTTTAAAGCTTCAGTATTCCCCCAAATGAAACCAACACTTCCACCTCTGCATCATAACCTGCATCTCAGCGAATGTTTATTTTAACCTCCTGGAACTGAATTTACTCCCATGTGCTCTCTGAGCTTTACGTCCACATGTGCACTTTACGACCGCGTGTGTTTCAAATGTCAGCCCATGCCTTTGTGTGCGAATGTGAACAATCAGCAGTGTGTGTGTGTGTGTGTGTGTTTTCTAGACATTGCGTCGTCATAAATCGAGTGGCTTTGTGTGTGCTTATAAGACTTTGCACGACGGTCCTTTTGTGTTTGAGCAGTTTGTGAATAAATGTAGAAATAGTTTTGATTTGTGACGGCGCCGGGGGAGAAGAGAAAGACAGGATGCTTTAAGGTGTAGGTGTAAAAAAAAAAAACTAATATAAAAGATTTGACAAAATATCTATTTTTGTTGCATAAAATAAGCCTCAAATGACTTGTTTGTTTGTGCATCTGGCTTCTAAAAGGTCAAAAATATCAATTATGGCAGATTTATAACCAAAATCACTTGTTCATTAATGTTTATTTCTGTCGTAACACGAGTTAAAGTAAAATTAATTTGGACATGTCATCGCCTGCTGCCCTGTGCACCATCACCTCCCCCACTGAGCGCACTTTCCTCAACCTCATCTAATATTTGACCAAAAAAAAAACAAAAAGTGTGGATTAAATAAAAACTGTCTTTGTTGATAAGGAACATATATAAGATGTGATTTTTTTTTAAATCTACATAAGAAACTTGATTATGTCCTCTTCATTTTGCAAACTTAACGTTCAACATTCTGTAATTGTTTATTACAACATATGGAACCCCACTTCAAAAGATCTGAACTATCCCTTTAGTTTTGTTTAGTTACTGCCGTTTAGATTTGTTTTGTAGAAATCAGTCAAAAGAAATTGAATTGCTTCATCTTAATGTCTGCCAATTTCAAGGTTCTTTATTGTCATTTGCATCACATGTGTACCCAAGGTCCCAGTTACGCACAAAAATATATATAAAAAAAAAGTATAAAAAGAAACGGTTTCTAAGGATCTAAGATATAAGCTAAACACTAATGATGTAAAATAATAGAGCATATCAGAGTCAGAGTCAGAGTTTCTTTATTGTCATTCGCACCTCATGTGGTACATGTGGTGGAGCGAAATTATGTACACAGGGTCCCAGTTACATCCAACAATAAAATGTCTAAGAAAAACAGTAATAACATCTAAGATATGAACTAAGAAAAACATCAACTAAATATACACTAAGCACTCATAACATAAAACATTGAACATCAGCACAAACATGAACATGAGTCTGTGAGCAGATGTGCACGCATGAACACATCAACATGAAACAGATCAGCAGCAACATGAAACAGATCAGCAGCAACATGATATGGTTTTTCACAGTGATTATTCTAGTTAGAGATTCATGAGTCTAACAGCCTCAGGGTAGAAGCTGTTCCTCAGTCTAGTGGTTCTACACTTAATGCTCCTTAACCTCCTTCCTGAGGGGAGTGGGGCAAAAAGTGTGTGTGCTGGGTGGGTGGGGTCCTTCATGATGCAGGTGGCCCTCTTCCTGCATCTGGAGGTGTAGATGTCTGTGATGGTGGGGAGACTGATTCCAACAGATTTCTGTGCAGCCTTCACCACTCTCTGCAAAGCTTTTCTTTCTGCAGCTGTGCAGCCTCCATGCCACACATTGATGCTCGAGCACAGGATGCTCTCCACTGCACACCTGTAGAAGGAGGTGAGGACTGAGCTTCCCAGACCAGCTCGCCTCAGCCGTCTGAGGAAGTAGAGTCTCTGATGAGCTTTCTTGATCAGGCTGGTGGTGTTGTTGCTCCAGCTGAGGTTGTCATTCATGTGTACACCCAAGTACTTGTAGCTGGAGACCACTTCCACCGCAGATCCTCTTATGTTCAGGGGGGTGTAGGTGTTTTTGTTCCTTCTGAAGTCCACAATCATCTCCTTTGTCTTCTTCACATTGATGTGAAGGTTATTCTCTCTGCACCAGCTCTCCAGGTGTTCCACCTCTTGCCTGTAGCTGGACTCATCATTGTTTGTGATGCATCCCACCACCGCTGTATCATCTGCAAACTTTACAATGTGACAGCCTGGATGGGTAGCTGCACAATCATATGTGAGCAGAGTAAACAGAAGGGGGCTCAACACACATCCCTGAGGAGAGCCAGTGCTGAGGGTTATGGTGGAGGAGGAGAGGTTGTGGATCCTCACTAACTGTGGTCTGTTTGTTAAAAAGTCTAGTACCCAGTTGCAGATGGAGGGGCTTAGTCCTAGTGTGGATAGTTTGTCCATCAGGGTTTGGGGGATCATGGAGTTGAAGGCGGATGTGAAGTCCACAAAGAGCATACGGACGTAAGAGTTTTAAGTATTATATTAAGTATATTATATATTAAGTATATTATATTAAGTATTATTATATTATATTAAGTAAATTCAAAGCATTTTAATGCTTTTATTAAAAAAAAAGGCTTAACATTCATTGGAGTAATGTATACGCCTCCTTCATGCCAGAATCTGAGACTTAGAGTAATCTTATGTAGAAACTCTCAGATCCCGTGTTCTTGTCGACTCTCGGCTACTACCACCTTCAAATTGAGCTCACTTTCTACAAACTGACTGCTAATGTTGATCTGTGTAAGGTGTAAAGTTCATTCAGTGATTATTTCACTAAAATCTGTTCAGTAGTTCTTGAGATATTTTGCTAACATTGACAGTCAATTATAAATTTTTAATTGTATGCAGTGAACCCTTACAATAAGCAGCAGTTCAGACCTCATGATTTCAGATGGTGGGTCTCAAGCTTTTCTGTGCTTCTTTCTCTGCTCTTTGTGACTGGAAACCGTGTGCACATGCTCAGTACGGTAATTTATACGTGTTAAAAGTAGTCCAAGGGTCCACGTCCTCCTTTATCCTGTCTTGACGGTCACACAGCGCCGATGCTCCCAGACCCAGGCTCAAAACCAGAAGTGTTGGAGCTTTTTGGTGGTGGCCTCTGTGTGGAACGTCTCTGTTAGCTGGCTTTCCTCCCATTTTGATTCCCATATTGGTTTAGTATCCAAATTTTTAGCCTGACCAGCACCACTTAGCCTTAGACAGAGGCCAGGACTGCATGGGCTCGGTGTGTCTGAGTGAGGACTTTTTGTTGTTTTCTGGGAGCTCTGTGCAGGAAGATGTCCTCTGACCCCGGCTGATGTGGGTGGGGAGAGTGGATAGACGGAGATGAATAGAGTTTATTCTTCCTCCTTCAACTCCTGATCTCTGAGCACGACTGAAGAGCCTGAGAAACGAGAAATATGAAGATGCACATAGATAAAAAAAAAGAAAAGAAATCCTCTTTCATCAAAACTTGCCAGTGTTAAGTTGATGACTGAACTTACAAATTGACAAATGAAGATTTAGCAATTTAAACAGAAACAAATGGACTGTAAGGCAGGAAAGATAATCAAATTACAATAAAATAGGATATAAAGAAGTGAAAATGTTCACTTTTGAAACATATGAATACTTAACTAAATTAGAAGGTAACTCACGACAGTGTGTTCACGTAAAAATATGATTGAATATTTTAAAGAAAACACCAAATATACACATATTTTTTTCGTACGCCACATTTCATCTGATCAAGTTTCTTCAAACTCTAATTAGCAGCTTTTAAAAAAAATTGTATTTTGATTAAAAAGCAAATAATAAAAAAAATAAAAACCTGAAATTCAGAGTACACAATAAACGATCTCCAGTTTCTCCCCACAGTTCAAAAACATGCATGTTAGGCTGCTTCGGGGTCCAGGCCTCCCTTGCAAAAGAGATCTGTGATCTCAAAGGGATTTTCCTGTTTAAATAAAAACTAACAAATTAATAAAGTCAAGCTTTGTTTGAAGGAATGCATATCACCCGCCACGTTTCAAGCCAGAGTTGATGACTGAAGTCTTATGATGAGCAGGTATTTACCATATTAGTCAAACTTGGTTAATGACGTCTGGCATCATGAGAACTTGTGAGACCTTAATATGAGAAATTTTGAAATGTTTACTGTACTTAAAAATCAAAATAAATTGACGATTACATTGTACTAACATATGTATTTTAGTTTCTAAGCACATTATACCTAGTACAAAAATGTAGACTACACCACTGGGATAAAGGTTTACTTGAATAAATAAATAAACATGTGATATAATACATTTTTTACTAAATTCAAATTATTTTTGATTTATTTTTGCAGTGTTTGTTCTTTATTGAACTATTTGTGTGAAGGGAGTGATAGTTTGTGTTTTGGGATGCCAGGTTTGCTGCACAGTTTAAAGTGAGGGCGGGTTGTGCGTCAACCCGCCACTCCCCAATTCGTGGCCTTCACGGGAGCGCGCATACACTCCACTTTACTCCAGCTCACGGTTACGCGCGTTACTACCGACCAACAGGCAGGAGTTCCGTTGGAGGAAGTCGCTGATTGGGAAACACGAACCTCAAACTCCAGGAAAGGAGCTCAACCCGGGAAAAGGGGAAATAAGTGGAAACGTGTCACCGTCTCAGCTGGAGAAATATAAAATTAAAACTTTTGGAATATGGACTAAGAGGCGACGGAGTCTGCGCAGATGGAGGCGGCGAGAAGTTTGGTGTTTGTCGGGGCCGTGCTGCTCGCAGTGACGGGAGCTTCGGGCAGGGAAGGTGGGTACATTTCCCGGTCTTCGCCACCAGTTACTGACCCAGCACTCCCACTTTTTGGGGGACGTGGTCACTGAAGTCCGACGGTCATATTTGAGTAAAAATACTCGAGGTTCCTACTGGTCAGGGTCCACATTCCTGCGTTGACTCAGAGTCTAGTCGCTGCTGAGACTCGCGGGATCCATGGAAGTGGGGGGTGGAAGAAAAAAAAAGCACACCTGTCACGCAGAAGTCTCACGCGACGCTTCGGTGTTTAGTCAAAAAAAGTCACCCCGAAACTTGAAGCAGCTTCACACATGAATAAAGTCATAGCAAGGCGTTTAAAAACCACAGCAAGGTTTATCCGTAAACAAACACAGGCGGTGCATTGTGTCCCAGCGATCGAGTCTGTCAATTATTCACTCGTGTCTCTGAAGGGGACATTGTCTCATAGAGGACCACTTGTCTCTGAGTGCAGGAAAACAATAAAAGGCGAAAGTAAAGTTTTGAAAAATTCAAACCAAGTTTTCATATGAATAAAAATGGAGTTTTAATTGGATCTGCAGAATTATATTCTCCCTCCTTTTTTTTGCAAAAACTTTACTCGCTTTCTTTTTAATCCCTTAAAATCGGACAGGCGAGTACAAGTTTTGTCTGTTAGCAAAATATCTCATAAACTACTTGGTGACATTTCAATCAAATGTGCAGAAAGTAATCATCGAATGCACATCTAACCCTCATCACTGGAGTCAGACCAGTTCAAGATGTCCGCCACAGCTAATCCACATTAGCCAACATAAAAATGGTTTTATTTTGGTAAGTTAAAATTTATTGTGGTAGTAGCTGAAACTGATTCCAGATTGATATTTATTTAAAATTTTGTCAATAACTTTTTGGAGTCGGTGCTGTTTGTCTGTTAGCAAAATATCTCATGAACCACTGGACAGATTTTAATGATTAAAAAAAAAAAAGTAATCAATGAGTGCACATCTACATCTGAGAAACCGTTTGGAGGCATTAAAACAAAGAGTGTGTTGCAGCTGCGCGAGTTTTATTGGCAAGACATTCATAAACATCTATTTGAGGTCAAATCAGAAATGTCAATAAGTGCAGTCAGAAGAGTTTAAAAGCGTTTTTGGTTTCAAGCTAGAAAATGTAAACATCGATAAGTTTTTTTTCCATTATTGACCAGTGCTAGTCAATTTTTAGTCACGTTTTACAGATTAGTTTCTCTTTGCAGAGCTTTGATAAAACAACATCATGGTTTGGTTTAAAACTTTTGTATTTCTTTTCCTATAACCATCTCGTACGAGCGTAAACAACTCGTAGGAGTTGCACAGCCCGCTCCCACCGTCATTGCTGCACACACAAAGACAACAGTGACAGGTGAAGTCACTTCTAAATGCATCTGTATTGTTGATGGGAACTGGTTGGTGTACTTTAACCCGTGGTGTTGTCGGTGATCGGTGCGGAGCGCTCTGACTGGTTCCCAGAGTTGAGCAACGCACCAGGCCCAGTGGATCGATGTCCACAGTTTTACTGTATTAACGCGAAGCCCCCTCTCCATGTGACGGACCTAGTCTCCATCAGGTTCATGTCCTTGTCCCTCTTCTCAATAGAAGAGTTTGTGATAGCCAAACTCACAGGGCGGATGATGAAAGTCCTACTAGTTTAATTTGGTCAAGCGAGCCCCACGAGTCAAAGGTCTAGACAAGGTTTGCATCCGCTGTGGTCAAAAGAGCCATTTCTGATTAAACATGACTGGAAAAGTTCAAGTTCAAGTATCTTTATTGTCATTTGCATCACATTTGGTACATGAGATGGAATGAAACTGTGTACTCGGGGTCTCAGTTACACCCAAAAATAGCTAAAATATAAAAAGAAGCAGTTAAGAATCTAAGATGTACACTAAACGAAGGCTAAACAATACGCTAAAATATCTAAGATATACGCTAAACACTAATAATGTAAAATAATACTGTATATTAAACAGCAGCCCGAACATGAGTCAGTAGTGAGTAGATGGGTATGAATGAATACAGCAGCATGAGAGAGTCAGCAAAACCTGCTACAACTGTGATTATCAACTGATGGCCCATGGGCCACTGATCTTGTTGGAGTGGGGCTTTTCTGGCCAGTGGAGGGTGACATTATAAAACTAAAATTATATAATGCATTTTAATATTTATTGATATTTTTACATTTTTAGACAAGACCATATCGTAAAGAAAGAAACTAATTATAGTTTATACAGATTCTGATATAAATTAAAACACTGAACTCTGCAGGTCTATGTGAGGAATAATAAATAAGTATTGGGCGGGGCTGTGGTAGCTCAGTGGTCAGTGCTTTGGTCTTGTAATCCTGAGGTTGCGGGTTTGAGCCCAGGTTGCGTCAGTTAGTGCATCCGGCGTAGAAGAAATTGCCAAATCTTTCATGTGAGTGGTGACCCCTGAAGAAGGGAGCAGCCAGAATAAACGTACTTACGAAGTTACTTCAACAATTTCCTGTGGGATCAATAAAGTTCTTATCTTACTGGTAGTTATCAGGCAAAAAATTGTCAATAAAACTGCCAAAACTATAATTTTCTGTTGTGGGTAGAAAAATCAATACAATTAAATTTCATGAAGTTTTGGTCAAAGCTTCTAAGAGCTGCCGATGAGGGACTGAAGAGCCACACGTGGCCCCAGAGCCGCAGGTTGTAGACCCCTGGTCTAGACCGTGTCAAAGATCTAACTCACCCCGAGCCGAGGAGGAGACCACCAACACCGTCAGAGGAACCTACACTTGAAGGGTGGAGCTGCAAAACTTCACTCTAAATAACAACAGTAATAGAATGTAGCTGATAAATTATATATATTTTTTATTAAATAATGATTTTAATCGTCGTCTTTATCATCCTCGAAAACGGGGATTCCCAAACCTTTTCAGCTTTCGACCCACAAATAAAAGTTGCAGAAACCTGTGACCTGCACACCAACTGTAAAAAGTTAAAAAGGAATTTAACAGAGTGTCATCAACAATTGTCTTTTTATCCATTTATGTTAATGGCTGTATGTATTTGTAGCAAGAATGGCAAAATATGCTACTTTAAAATGAATTTGGCTCCTGTAAACTCTCGTAAGACGCTCTACTTGGTGTTTTTATAACCCACATGGCGGTCTGGACCTACCTTTGGGGACCGTTGCTCTAAAATGATCAACTTTCTGCTCAAGACCTGCTCTTTAATGGAATACACTTGTGTTTATGTCCCCTGGTGTATATGTGAGTTTACGGTATTCAGAACTAGCAAATGATTTCGAACGATTTTTAAATATTATAATTTTTGGTAATTATTATTATAAATGTTTTAATCCTTTTAAATTTTTGGAGCTTTTGCACAGGCAGTTATTGAGACGGCACAAACAAATTTCCTAAAGGGGACGATAAAGTATGGGTTTCATACAGGATTGTGTTTCTTTTTGTTTGACGAGCAGGACAACGTCATTTTGACTTGCCAGTCCTCCAAAGTTCTTGTTTTGTTAAACCAACCGTCTAAAATTAAGTCAAGATAATTCGTGTTATAAACAAAACATAGCTGAGATGCTGAAACTTTATAGCGAACCTAATGTTTTTTTTAATTCGGTGTAAAGTGCTGCTGCAAAACAACAAACAGGTGTTCTCGCATTTTTTGACGTTGACACAGATTACCTCCTGGCTCCAGATGTTTGCGTTATTCTTATTTTTTCCTGGGAGCGTTTGAGCATGTAAGACACTGATGCTTAGATAATTAAATACAACAAAAGGCTTTTAGATGTAAAATAACTGGGTGAGTGATGTAAGAAACTCCCACAAATAAGAATGGAAGTTGTGGCCTGCAGCTCCCAGTTGGGGGATAACCGTGTGATTTGTAGGAAAAAACAGGAGTGACGTCTTCTGAAGGGAAACGCTTTAATAGAAATTCTATAAAAGAAGTTTAATTCGAGGATGGAAATTCACATTAAAATGCTTTAATAGTCTAAAAACTTAATGCAGTGCCAGATGTGTGGAAGGGGGATGTGGTCAGATGTTCCACGGGTCTGAACTGGTCTGAACGCTGAGATATGTGCAAACCAACACAAAGATGTCCTGAGTGATCATTTCTGCCCTGATGGAAACGTTCTTTCCCAGAATGCCTTGGTGTTCCTGAACTCGGGCTGCGTGCCCCCCATGACCACTTGGGTGGTTGGGACACTGATGTGAATCATATACTGTGACGTTTAGAGTAATGGGAAACGTTATACCATCGTGATCAAATGAAGAAATGTCTATTGGCTGATTATCTTTAAATTCTCTGGAGCTGAAGTAAAACAAAAAATGTGTTGCTTTTTTCTTCAGTTTGGTTCCTTTCTGTAGATTATTCTGCTGTAAAATACAAGAGCTTAACTCAAAAATAGCTTTAATTCAGCCAGTTTTTAGATGTGTGAAAATTAGGTGATGCTAAACGCTACAAGTCTATGTCTGAGCTCAGTGCTGCATAATGTCCTAAACAAACATTATGTAACTTTGGTCTATTTTTGTGTGATGAATCTCGCAGCTATCTTTCTAAGTTGCTTGCAACATGACTTCTGCACGAAAAAGGTTATTTTTAAGTATTAAAAAAAATGTCCATTTTAAATTTGAGTCCATCTCCGTCCAACTAGAATAAATATTCCAAGTGGAAGGTGGATATTCTTCTACAAACTGGCTGCCTGGTAGAATAAATTGGATCTTTTCTTTGTGTTTTTCAGTTTTAGTCTTTTAAAAACATGCAACTTCAGCTGCAAGTGCTGTGTACGAAGCTACGCAGGTTTTCTCGTGCTGTGTTAATGCTCAAGTAAATTGTTATCTCAGTTAGTGCACGGCAGCTTGAAGCTGCTGTCTGTTTCTTCAGGAAACTAAAGATCCTGTTCTTCTCGTCTGTTGAGCAATACCTGTTTTGTTTTGTTTTCCTCTCCATCAGCCGTAGAGTCGAAAAGAAAGAATGTGTTCAGGGAGGTTGGAAGAAATGGGTGTTTTATGCGAGA